CAATACATCTCTAAAAACTATCAACAAAATTAATAAAAACCAAGGATGTCGAGGATGTGGAGTGAATTGGATTATAAACTGAAACTACAGAGAGATATTAATGCACAGTTACTAAAATGGACAAAAAACAGTAAATGCTGGCAAGGATGCAAACCAGATTATCCATACTGCTACTGAAAATGAAAACTACTACAGCTTAGGAAATACTTTTTTTTTTTTTTTTTTACAAAAAATAAAAATTCAAGTACTTCTGTGTTCACGCAAAAACTTACATACTAATATAGCAAAAACTAAGAATTACTCCAATGTTCTTTAGTAGCAAATTGTTAAAAACTGTGGCACATCTAAAATATGAAATGCAACCATATGATACAAAGGAAATACTGATGCATTTAACAATTTTGATAAATTTAGTAAAGAACTAAACTGAGTAAAAAAAGGCATACCAAAAGAGTACAGACTGTGTGTCCTATGTGTCCAAACATTATTGAAGAGAGGACACTATCCTTGTTGGGGCATTACATTCTTCTCTGTTATTGTTAGAGCAAATAGTTCATGAGATCTCTGTGTAATTTCCTTCAAATCTTCAGGTCTGGTGAGACTCTTGTCTCAAAAAATTATACAGAGAGTAACTGAGGAAGACACCTGACGTCTATCCTTGTCCTCCACACACATGCATACAGGCCTTCACAAACACACACATACACAACATAAAGAAAAACTGGGCTAGCAAAGGCAAAAACGATCTTCTAAGTTCAACTCATTCAACTAATTGGGTCAAAGGGCTAGAGTATGAAAAAAGTACAGGTGGTTGAACTGGGTGCTTTACTGGGAATATTAAAAGTCTATAGGGAACATAACAGACCAAGAAAAAGGCACCTTTTTCTAGTCCATTGTTATCTCTGAAGAGGGGCCATGTGGTAGGGAGGTGTTGTTATGTATCCTTAAAACTTTCAAGATTACTCTACTCAGCCTCTTAAGTGCCAGAATTACAGGTGGGCACCAACCCCATACAGTCTAAAACCTCATTATTTTTAAGATTTTTTAAATTATCATTTTGTGTAAAAATATTTTGTCTGCATGTGTGTATGTACCTGGTTCCCAGAGGCCAGGAGGGGGGTTGTCATATCCCTTGGGATTGGAGTTAGATGGTTGTGAGCCACTATAAGTATATGGGGATCGAACTTAAGTCTGTCTTCTCCAAGAGCAACACAACAAATGCTCTTAACTGCTGACCCAACTAACAAACCCCTAAAACACTATTCTTTAATAGAATGGTTAATTCATTACACAAAACTCTGTCCATTGCTCTATTTGTAAAACTACAAAGTACTTATTAGAATTTTTCCTAAAAACAGTCACCTTATATCACAGTAAAATTCAGCAAAACTACAAGGAAGACACTAAAAGAGACAAACCTTGTCCCCTGGAGAAGGGGAAAGGGTCACCATCTCCTGAGCAAATTGAGAACATGGGAAGAGGTGGGAGGAAGCTAGAGTGAGAAGGGAAGAAAAGGAAGGATGCAGAGGTCATGAGGAAGCAGAAATTTTGAGTCAGGTGTATATTAGAAGAAACGGCATATGATAGATAGGATTTTATTTTTTGGGGGGGTGGTAGAGGAGGAAGGGAGGGAGAAGGGAACTGGGATTGTCATGTAATTCAATCTTGTTTGTAATTCAAATATATAAAAAATAAAGATGGTTGACTAACCAAAAAAAACTTACAAAATTAGCATATGAATAAAAGACATGGGCAAAATGGAGGGCTGGGAAGAAAAAAAAATTCAGCAAAACTATAGCCGAAGAACAAAAAATTACTATCACTATCTTAAAGGTAAGAAAAATAGTGACTCAACAACAAGAAAAAATATATATCAATCAGAACTCCATCCAAATCATCAATCCAATAATAATTACAGCAATGTTTTTCTCCTTCACTTCTCCCATGTGAATAATGGTTCTCTAGTGAATTAGGACTTTCTTAAATAATGACTATAAAAAATGGTGATTGTTTTTATTAACATTGTACTGGCTGGTGTTGTGTCTCAACATGATACAGCTAGAGTCATCAAAAAGGAAGGAGTTGCGGAAATGCCTACATGAGATCCAGCTTTAAGGCATTTTTTCTCAACTAGTGATCAATGGAGGAGGGCCCAGCCCATGGTGGGTGGTGTCACCCCTGGGCTGGTCCTAGGTTCCATAAGAAAGCAGCTGAGCAAGCCAAGGGAAGCAGCAAATCAGTAAGTAGCACCTCTCCATGATCTCGACATCAGCTCCTTTTTCCAGGATCCTGCCCTGTTTGAGTTCATGTCCTGACCTCTTTTGGTGGTGAACAGTGCAGTGTTAGCATAAACTAAATAAACCCTTCTCTCCCCAATTTGCTTTATGGTCACAGAGTAGAAACCCTAACTAAGACAAATATTTTTAGTCTTTCAGAATACATATGACCACAGTCTATGGAAGTTAAATTTTCCAAGGTACAATGAAGATAATTTTTTATTTTTTACAGGTAAACTCTAAAAGCTGTACCAGCATCTACTCTGAATTAACACTTTACCAGTAAAACTTAAAATTACAGCCAGCATGCTCTGCCCTCACTAAGCCAAGCAAGTATGTCAACTGATTAACACAGCAAATCTTTGTAACTCAGCAAATCTTTCCTGAAATGGTTAGGTTCAGTCACCACAGAGGTAATAGTACAATACAACAGAAGGAAAATGTAGCTCTTGCTTTTGTCTGTGTAACAGGGAACCACACACACTAAGGTCTAATGAGTGCTAATACTCAAATACATTAACAGCCATAGCCCCAAAGGAACAATGTGAAATCATCAGTATGAAGATAATCAGGCAATCGAGAAAAAGTGATACATTAACAGAGACCTTCAACAATGAACAGATATCATCAGCAAGCTGAGCAGCAGGTTAAAAAAAAATCATAATGCTGATATAAATATTAAGAACTATTCACTGCAGGGAGGAAACATACACAAAAATGATCATAAGACTCAAGAGAATTAAGAAAAATTTGGGGAGTAATATTCAATAACCAAAGACAAGTGCTAACTGATCAGAAGAAAAAAAAAATAGGTTGGGTAAATGAAACCCCAGGATAAGGTTACTTGGTGTCAAAAGAAAGGAAAATAAAATAATTAATTTGGGGAAAAAAAAAAAAAACTGATGGAACAGATATATTACATGTCCAAAAGTGGGCAAGTAGGTAAGTCTTAACGCAGGAAGTTCATAACTGAAACTGTATAAAAATTAATTAGAATTAGGTATCTTCTCCAACTCACAAGCAAGATAAACTACTCGTCCATTCCAGATATTAGACTCAGTAAGAGCATATGCAGCTGGTAGAATAGATGGCAACAACAACAAAAGGGTAAATGAATGACACTATTTCCAAAACGAGAATTATGGCCTAACTAAAATGTTCTCAGCTATGTGTATACCTGTGGTGATATTTTGTTTATGATCTTGCCTGAAGATCAGAGTGCAGAGCTAGCCACACTAAGTTAGCCATAGAGACCAGGCAGTGGTGGCACACACCTTTACTCCCAGCACTCAGAAGGTAGAGGCAGGCAGATTTCTGTGAGTTCCAGACCAGCATGGTCTACAAGAGCTTGTTCCAGGACAGGCTCCAAAGCTACAGAGAAACCCTGTCTCAAGAAAAAAAAAAAAAAAAAAAAAAAAAAAAAAAAAAAAAAAAAAGATTTCGTGCTACTTATACCCTTTTACAGGCAAAAAAAGAACAAATTCTTTTCTGGGAAATCACAAGCATACAACCAAAGGACCTCAGGCCAACCCTGATCTTGAGTACCTTCATGAAAGACCTTAGAGGCCATCTCATGAGGCTCTAAGCTGTAAAAGTGAAGCCTGGTTGCAGTACAGACTCTAAGATGTTGGAGGTGCCAAAGCTGTGAGACATCTGCCAGGGAGAACTGCATGCAAGGAGTGAAACCAGCCTGTGAGAGAGATTTTACAGGCAAAAAAGCTGGAAGGGTGGAGCCATCTAAGCCTTCTGATATCAGATATGGGAAGCTAGAGCAGTGGTTCTCAACCAAATGCTGTGACCATTTAATACAACTCCTCATGTTGTGGTGACCCCCAATCATAAAGTTAATTTTGTTGCTACTCCCTAACTCTAATTTTGATACTGTTAAGAATTGTAGTGCAGATATCTGCTTTCTGATGATCTTAGGCGACCCCTGTGAAATCATCTCCACCCACAGGTTGGGATCTGTTAAGGTAGAAGATTTGGAGGTCAGTCTTGTTTGGTCCAGCATTTCTTTTTTCTTTTTGGATTTTTGAGACAGGGTTTCTCAGCCTAGCTTTGGCTGTCCTGGAACTGTAGACCAGGCTGGCCTCGGAAATCAGAGGTCCACCTGCCTCTGCCTCTGCCTCTGCCTCCCAAGTGCTGGGATTAAAGGTGTGCACCACCACCCAGTGATGCAGCATTTCTTTACTATGCCCCCATTCCTCTTTTTAGGAATATTCTGTGTCATTGTATGCTTGAAATGATTTGCTTTTAGAATTCACAGGGTTTTATTGAGTCTGTGGAAGACTATGGGGGCTTTAAAAGTTGGATTAAATGCACTTAGAATTATTATAATGGCCAGTAAGCCTTTGGGGGACAGGAATGGAAGGTAGTGGTTTGAATGAGAATGTCTCCCATAGGCTTAGATATCCAAATACGTGCTTGGGGCAGGCTCTGAGTATGTAGCCTAGCCCTAATTCCAGTTCAAGGTTGAAAATGTGATCTCTCAATTCCCTGTTCCTGCTGTTGTGCCTCCCTGCCATGAAGTCTCATCCCTTTGGAAATGTAAGCAAAAATAAACTCTGTCTTCTATAAGTAGCCTTGATCACAGGATTTTATTACAGCAGAAGAAAAGTAAATATACAGATGATAAATTGAAGTTAAAAAAAAAAAAAGAAAAAATTTCTCAATCCTGAAAGTTCATGATAAAATTGGGCATCAAAAAAGTAAAAAGTACTCAACCTGTGTATCCATTAACATAGATGGCAACTCCACTAAATATTGCAGATGGCGTCCCATCCTTCTGCTTAGCAGCATCTGACCGGAACTGCTCCTCCAGCTTCTGGACTTTGGCAGCCATGTACCCACCCTACAACCCAAGAAAAGACATACCAATCAACTACAGTTACAGTATTCCCCTGCCACACATTTGTAACTTAAAACAAAACAAAAAAACACCATGACAGATTTATGAATACAGTCTCACTTTTTTTAACCTTAAAATAATTAGGCTTGACTATTTTGATGATTATGTCTTTAAAGCAAAACTATAGGTGACAACTAGTGGTACACAGTTTGTCCAAACTGCAAATGGCTTGTTTTCATTATTAGAATTATATATGCTCACAATAATTTTTTTTTCAGAATATAGATGTAAAAAGAAAATTAAAACTGTTGTAACCCCATTCACTAACATTTTGGGATGCTAATCTCAAGCCTTCTTTCTACATCTCACAACACTAAATTAGAATCACATGTAATACTTCTTTATTAACCACTGTTTTAATCAAGGCTATCATCCCAGGTTAAAACACACAAAGCTAAGTAATAGCTGCACAGTGTTTTACTATATACAGATGATTAATATCTGTATAACTAGATACAGATGATTAACTGACAACACCCTACTTACTAGATACTTATATATTTTCCTATATGTCAGTATTATTAGCAATGCTGAGATAAACTATATTAAATTGTTGTGTCCAAGAATATTTACTTCCTAAGGTCAAAATCATTGACAGTAAAATAGTTTGAAGATTATAGTTTATCAACAGTGTTAAGGTTTTCAATGCCTTATAGAAACAGAGTTGGTATATAAAGTCACATGTTATACTGTAAGTCTTATAACTAAAAGGAACAAAAATTATCTAGACATTTAAATATCTTTATTCATTAAAACACACCCATTTTTCCCAGCCATCATTTTCAGCTCGCTTCCTCCATCCACCTCGCCTCATGGTGGAGCTTCTGTATTGGAGAGGAAAAAAGAGAAGTCAATTTTATACCATAATGTACTCATCGATTATTTTATCACAGAAAATAGGAAATTTAAAACTTCAAATGCCTAATTAATGCAAGACAAAAGTAAATGCCAAGTAAACTTCAAAATGCATCATTTTCAGATTGCTCTATAAGTGAAATCTGTTCATAGAACATCAATCCTTACAGATTAAGCTTCATATTTAAATGTTTTTCAACTGTGTGTAGAGGGTGGTTGAGGGTGAGGATCTACACACTATTAAATACCACCACCAGCTGCACTTACTTGTTACCACTAATTAAACAATCTACTAAGGTATTTCCTTTATCATCTGTCCTGTAATGGCTCTAAAACTGTGTCATACTAGACACTCAAGAATGCACACACAACTTAACAAATCTGTCCTACAAAATGTCCCCCAGAAGTTCATTAAAAGAATACATCATATGGGAATGATTATCCTGATAATACATTAATAGATCTGGCATTCCTTTTTTTTTAATAAGTAATTTGTTTTTATTTTATGTTCACTGGTATTTTGCCTGCACATATGACGGTTATGAGGGTGTCGGAAGTAATGGAACTGGAGTTACAGTCAGGTGTGAGCTGCCATGTGGGTGCTGAGAATTGAACGCTGGTCCCCTGGAAGAGCATCAGTGAGAACCCTCCCCCCAAATCTGGCATTCTTAAGGCAGCACATCATCAACTGTACTATATACCACACTAAGATTACCAAAAGATGTGTCTTGTCTCAAGCTTCAGGGAATAGCAAGGGAATAGGGAATAGCAAGACAGTTAAGTAATTCTTAAGTCAAAAGAGGCACTAAATGAACCCTTACAAAGTCAAATTCCTCCAGTTACAAGTTGGGCTATAGCTGGTCAGCATTCAGGAGGCAAAGGCAGGTGGATTTCTGAGTTCAAGGCCAGCCTGGTCTACAGAGCTAGTTCCAGGACAGCCAGGACTGTTGCACAGAGAAACCCTGTCTTGAAAAAATCAAACAAAAAAGTTGGCCTGTCACTGCATTATCTTTCATAAATACAATTTTTTCTGCAATTACATAGTTTTATATCAAAGATTATTATATAAAGTCTTATATACACCATCAAAGTAAAATCAGCTTTGGTATGGTTTATGAGAATCTTTAATACTTAAAACATGATATTTTATCCACACACATTAGCAAATACTTTGTTTCAAATACTCCTGGTTCTTGAAATGCCCCATGATTTGGTTTCTCTTTCTGACATTTTTATTAACAACATATTGTACACATAAAAGATGACTAAAAGGTACACAGAAATTGTCAGCTAAGTTCCAGTAGTGAGATAAGCAACTTAAATGTTTTATGGGCATATGTAAAGCGCCCTGAGAATAAATTACTAACTCTGTGGACAGAGAATTTTGCTTTTTAAGTTTGCTCTAGGTAGGTGCAGGAGTGTTTAATGATGTATGCATTATCAAGCCCAAAACTGTCATGTTTCTCTTAAATGTTTACTCTCCTTAAGTAGCTTACTTTGCCAGTCCTAAAGACTTCAACCAAAAATTCATAATACAAAATTCCTGGTGTCAAATAAAGTCTGAATCTATACACCTGCTTTTACAAGCAAATAACTTGGGCATTCTGGCTATTATTTATATGCTAATATGTTGTCACAATAATTAAATGTAACTGTTTGCAGTCAGATATTTGAACACCTAGTCCCTAGCTGGTGGTGCTGTTTGGAAGGACTAATGGGTGTGGCCTTGCTGGAGGAATCTTTGAGAGGTTAAAAACTGTTGCCATTTTCAGTTTGCTTTCTCTGCTTCATGCTTTGTGGTTCAAGATGTGAGCTGTGAGCATTCTGCCAACCCTGCTGCTTGTTGCCATGATTCCCATCATGATGAATTGTAAGTCCAAATAAACTCTTCCTTTTTTTTTTTTTTTTTTTTTTTTTTTTGAGACAGGGTTTCTCTGTGTAGCTTTGGAGCTGGAGCCTATCTTGGTACTCGCTCTGGAGACAAGGCTGGCCTCGAAATCACAAGAGACCCGCCTTTAATTTAAAGTTGGGCATGGTGGTATACACCTATAATTTCATCATCTGGAAGGTGGAAAGAGGATCAGGAGTTCAAAGACAACCTCAGCTACATAATGAATTCTGGGCTAGCTTGCAGCACAGACACCCAATCTCAGTAGAAAAAAAAAGAAAACAATTCATTTGATCACTCATTTAAGAGCACCTTATGACGGCCAAAGTTTCTGCTGTGAAAAGCCAGAAAGAAAATCCTTACAGGTGGTGAGAGTAAGGAGAAGGCAGACAAGTATAAAACTGAGATAGATGCTAGACTATGGATATGACACTCTCTGGATGCTACAGCACTTGCTTTACATGTGTACATACCACCCCACCACCACCAAGCACATGCCACACACATACATATACATATAATTGAAATAAAAACATGGAATCTTTAAAAAAAATCTGAACACTCACAATCAAATTCTATGCTAATAGTTTAACAAATAGTACTATCATAAAAATCTCCTCTCCTAAAAGTGGTACAGGCAAAACTGACAATTAGACCACGTTTGATACCAACTACAAAGCAGATGAGAATTAACTAAGAATCATTTACAGGATTGGCAATATGGTGTCAAATAAGGAAGATGCTAAGGAAATCTCTATTCTTGTAAGTTGTAATGTGTCATGATATAAAGGCATAAATTTCCCCTAATCCATAAAGATCATCAAAAAAGAAGTGGTTTATCAATGTCTCTTCAGTCTTATCTACAGAAAGGTTCTCCATTCAAAGAAACTGGCCTGTTTATTCAAATAAGACTTTCTCTAAAGAGAGGAGGGCAATGGATCGAGATACTAAAAACCTAACAAAATATTCTTAAAAAAGAAAAAAAAAAAAGGAAGAAAAAAAGAGCATCTATAATTGCAAGACTCAGATGACTGATGCTGAAGGAGGATAGCCAATATGGGTTACCTAGTAGTGGTAATGGTGGTGGTGGTGGGGGTGGGGAGAAGGAAAAGGCAAGCAAGCCAGGTGTAGCAATCATACCTGTAATCAAAACACTCAGGAAGCTAAGGCAGACAACAGAGAATAGCTATGTAGTCAGATCATGTCTCGAACAAATAACCAAAACCAATGCAACTGCCTTTGAATAACTTTTAATCAGTCTCATTACTCCAGTCATATCTAGACATAAAGTGCTATCTTACCTTTACTTAATGGTCTTAAGAAATATTATTGACTAAAACAAATATACAATTGAATGTGCACCTTTCAGTAATATGGCATAATTCATAATGTGACACAAATATAAAGTCGCCTGTGGCCACCCCATTTCTAGGAAAGGCTAAAATAAGCTTGGTTTGGGCTCACTCCCATCTCTCATCTCGCTACTCAATACCTTTCTTTTTTTCCTTGTGTACCCCAGGCAAGTGCTCTGCCACTTAGCTACATTCTCAACCCTTGGTTTTATGAGTCAGAGTCTACGTAGCCCAGAAAGCCAAGAACTCCTGATCCTCTTGCTTTCATCTCCCAAGAAAGAAAATAAATGTTGAAAATAGGAAGACTGTAACCCCTTGTGCTCTACAGGCGCAAATATAAAATGATGTTTCTGGTGTGGGAAAGAGTGGCAGGAATTCAAAGTATTATAGCAGATTATTTCTATGTGCACTTCTGAGTAGGTAGCAAACAGATTTATCTAAACATCCACATTCACAGCAGCACTCACAGTAGGTAAAAAGGTGGAAACCCCAAAGTACCTAAAATAACGTAAATAAATAGCATATACACATACAAAATATTACTTAGACTTAAGAAATTTAAACATGATGCAACAGTCATAAAAATATTATGCTAAGCAATAGCAGTCATTTGTAAAATTAATAAAGATAGTGCATTTTTTAAAAAGCAAAGCAAAAAAAGCTAGAGGAAAAAGGTAAATACTCTATCAGCCCATTCATACCAGATACTTCAAGTAGTTAAACTTAGAGACTGAAAGTAGAATGGTGTGTTTTGGGGGTGAGGGTAATAACAGGAAGTATCTTAGGTCAAGATCAAAGGGAACCAGAGATGAATGGTGATGGCTGTTACACACTGTACTAATGCTGCTGAACTTCATATTTAAAAATGGTTGGGACTGAAGAGATGACTGAGCAGCCAAGAATACCGGCTGCTCTTTCAGAGGACTGTGGTAGGCTCCACTGCCAGCACCCACATGGTGGATCACAATTGTCTCTAACTCCAGTCCCAGGGGCATATCCTATTCTTTCTTTCTGGCCTCTGGGGTTAAAGGGACAAACATAATGCAGAGACATACAAGCAAACAAAACAACTTCACTCATAAAATTTTAAAAATTAAAAAAATTCATCAAAATGGTCAGTTTTTATGTTTTAAGTATTTTAATATAATTAAAAAAAACTTTTTTTAAGTCAGGAAGTTAGAAGCATGCCACAGGAACAGAGACTGTCAAATAAGAGGGTGGGGAGTATGAAGCTGGGCAAAGAGTCAACCTCTCCAAGAAGTGTGTGCAATAGTACCTATGACTTTTTCCTTGGAATCAGAGGCAGTGGGAGACTAAACACAAAGACCATGTACTACCCCTTAGGAGTGGTTAAATAAATGGGAGTACAAACCCATAGGCCTAAAAGAGTTCCAAGAGTACCTGTACCAATATACTCTTACTTTGCCCATAAAGACTGGAAGTTTTAACACCAGATCAGCAACCTTCTGTGATGTGTTTAAATACAAAAGCACTGCTGCTTTTTCGGACTTTGTTTTGTTTGACTCAATCATACAGACCATCAATGTCTCATGGTTATGGTTCTCAAATTCCTAAATTTTAAGAGCAGTACAGACATTCTTCAATTCCATACATCATGAAGCATAGCTGATCCAACCTATATATATGAACATTAGATTTTTGTTTTATTTGAAGGGATACATATCAAGCTATTTAAAGTGAAAACAAAAGCTATACACCCAATTGAAAG